TAATTTTTTAATTAATTTTTGTAATCGAAGTTAATAAAATTTCGTATATGTGGCAAGGCTGAAAATAGTGTCGCCATCGATAGGTCAGTCGTGCAATTATCGATTTGTTATATCGATATTTAGTGTTGTAATTATTTTCATGTTGTCACAAGTTTTTTATATGAAGGATTTTAGAATGAATCAATAACTTTGGAACTATTAAATTAAAAGTGTAATTTAAAATACGTTCAAAATTAAAATATTATTCGTTGCACTCATTTTAATGCGAATTAGTATCTCACAAAAAATATCTCATGTTACTTCACTTTTTCGTATTATAATTAAAGAAGGTATATTATATAAAACATGAACAATTTGTTATTAGACTTAATCTCATTAGATGCTTATATGCTCTATGCAGATGATACTAGCTGGTCATGTATGGACAAAATTTTTAATGCGTATGCACATGCAACCATCTGTTTTAATTTCTAAATTTATTAAACGATGGTATGAATCCAATTCTGGGAAACATGCTGGGCAACAGAATCTAACACAAACTAGTATTCTTGTAGAAGAGGGATTAGAAATACAAGAAGTGCCTCTAATTGTTAGAAAAATCAAAGATATTGAAACAATATGTAACAGCAAAGATGAAAAAAGTATTTCCATTATTGATAATTGTTATAAGTTTCCCAACATATCTAAGAAGAATGATCAATTTACATTTCATAGTAAAAGTAACACCAACTCTAAAAGTAATTCTAACATAAAAAATAAACAATTAAATCGAAGAATAGATATTGAAACTGAGGAAGGAACTGCAATATTATTTTGTTCTGACCTTGATTGTTTCAAAGATTTAGACATAGAAGATACTTTGCGGGGAATAAATTTGTTTAATACAGCTGATGGTGTATATTCAATGTTAGAGAACAAGATTACTCAAGAAATAAATTGTAGAGTAGCTTTGGAAGGCTTAAAAAAAATTTTGGAATTGGAAAATTCTTGGTCTAAACAGAAGAATAATAAAAGTCACAGAAGTAGGCAGTTTGAGGTTGATACCACTGCTAGAGACATCATAATGAAACAATTAATTAAATTAATTATTAACAGTAATGATACTGAAACGGTACTTCAAGGGCTTATCACCTTAAAAAAAGATAGAATTAGTCCACCTAGAAATATATATAGAGATTTAATGTGTGATGAAGCTTTAAGTAGGGCAACAGATGGAGAGTTTACACCTGCACAGTTAATAAATTTAATAAAAATTTTATCATTCTATAAGGATTCTAAATATCGTAAATTAATAGATACTTTATGGGTTGGTATTTTGCTTAGAGAACAGGAAATTAATGCACATACATTAGTAGCATTATTCAAGGCATTAAAATATTTTAATCAAAGTAAAAATATGGTAAAACTAATTCTTGAAAGAAAACTTTCTGACTATTGGATAAAGCTAACAGGTACACAAATTGCAGAAATATTAGATTGTTTTAATAATGATGTTTCTGCCATGAAGAGTTTAACAAGTGCTAGTAAATGGGCAAGTATAAGTATGAATACATCCAATGAAAAAGATTTAATAAATTTTATAAACAGTTTACATGCAAAAGATTACATTGATAATACAATTGAAAACACCTTACAGAATTATTTAAAATCTAAAGTATCACATATTGATGATTCAAAATTGATAGCAACTATTATGAATTATTGTAAAAATTTGCAGGTCAGAAATGAGTGTATTTTCTCACAATGTGGGAAATATTTTATAAAACATGGCATGAATATATCAACCTCTTTACTATCATCTATTCTTACTCCATTTGGATTATTATACATGCAGCCACCAAATTGCTTAGAATTTTGGAAAACTTTTGATAATGTATTATTAGTAAAATTTCATGATTTGAAACTGGATGATGCTTTAGATATTCTTCTTTCTTGTACTTATTTAGAAAAGTATCCTGTAAAATTTTTTGATAAAGTATTTATCTCACAGTTGCTTCATAAAATTCATTTGAGAAATCATTCTGTTTTCTTTAATCGTATAAAAAATAAATTGAAGCTATTAGATGCCACCATGTTTTTGGAGTGTAAAGATTATCAGTCATTATATTTCCCTTTGACAAGAATAGAAAAACCATTATTGTTAGATGCAAGAATTAGGAGAGCAGTTAATATGATATATCAACCATTAGCATCTTTGGTAGGAGGAGAACAAAAATTAAGTAAAAATGTGATTTTGAATCGATTGCCTGTTATAAATTTCTATGTACTTGATATTTTAATACATCCACATATGGTATCAACATCAGTATTTCATTTGAATTTAGATCAAGAGAGAAATGTAAATACTGCAGTTTTTATTTATTTACCAGAATATTATTGTAGAAATACCTGCCATTTAGTAGGACCTCAAATAATGAGGAAAAGACATATTAAAAAGTTGGGTTTTAAAATTATGACATTAGACTATGCATTATTACAGGAATTTTGGAATCAGTCAAATAAATTATCATCTTATTTATTAGAAAGATTACATTCTACAGAAGATGCTTTGTAATATGTAAACAATAAGAATATAAAATAAAACGTCCATTTTTGACAGAAATTGTAAAAGTAATTTAATCATATGTTGTATAATATTTAAAATAAAAATTTTTACAGA